CTTGGTATTAGGGATAGAAACAGGATAGAGACGGCGGGGACCGGAGCTAGTTGGCTGACGATAGGTCTGTTGTACCAGAGACGTGGTCCATGTAGCAAAGGGGTGAACATGACACTTAAAGGCTTGCGCCTCGAATTAGTCACCCGAACGCAGGAGAGGGCGAATAACGCCTCGAGTAGGACAGATGTGGTGGCAGGAGTCGAGTGAAATAGGTGAACAAGGGGTAGAGTAGACGGATTTTATGGAGCAAGAGAGAGACTGGGATAAGACTAGGAAAGAGGACTGCATAATAATAAAGCAGACTCTGATCAACACGTTTGTTCAAAGGATCGGCTTAACTTGTCTCTTTGACGAGTTTTTGTATGGTGGTAAGTATGGCGATACTCACTGACGATGCCGGCCAAACGTTTCCGAATGTACTACGTCAACGGTTCAACTTTGGAAGTGATCATGCAGACAATGGACTCCGGACAAGATGCGTTCCTCTAAGTCTTCCTACGAATATGACAATGTTGCGAAAACAAGGTCAAAAAACTTCTATACAACGAAAGGAGACTGCGAACACACAAAAGGCCACACCATCTTGGTCTTCATATATTCGATTAATAAAATAATCTTTATAGCATATGCATTGTGTCTATCACTAAAATTCTATCAACACTTTTCAATTTATAGATAAAGCATACCGAGGTAAATATGAAAGCTGAAGAGGTGACAAAGAAGGAGGTCAGTAATAAATGCCAAAACAGTAGTTGTGATGGTGATGACGATAAAAACAACACCGGTCAATGGTTTGGCAAAAAAGTTGAAGAGTTGGCCTGAAATAAGATAAAAGATTAATAAATGAAAAGTATAACAATGCTCTTGGTATTAAACTCTATATGAAATATAAACATAATTTATTTTCAATTACGAATGAAAACATTTATGAAGAACCCATAATACTGTTTAGTCAAATAAAACAAAAATTTTCGAATATAAGTAGAGTTTCGAGACTACCAGTAAATCAGTTATATGAGATGTATTCACCCTATTTCTTTTTTTATGCATACAACCAAGGGAAACTGCCAATTTTCGGCTATATTCAGTTTAAACTTCTAATGAGTTTGTAAAAATAATTTATCAGCAAATAACTTCAAAAGATAGGCAAATAAGTTTTAATGTTTTGTATAGGTACATAAACATTCCTGTTCAAGGAGCTATTCAGGCTCTAGTACAAAATCTGAAGGAGCATCCAGAGATTATAGAAGAAATAAGAATATATGAAGACCAAGATGTTGTGGCCTCTGGTATGATCACGGTCTCCTTTCGATTTATAGAAGTGGGTTGACCTCGTTTTCGCAACTTGGTCTTGTTGTCAGGGCGACTATGTAGAACACACCTGGTCCGAAGTCGTCTGCCATAGTAGTTATCATGATTCCCAGCATTTGTCAGTGGACTTGGTACATTCTCAAACGTTTCGCCGGCATCGTAGTCGGCATCATCAGTGAGTTTTGCCATTCTCCGCACCAACTATGAACTCGTCAAAGAGACAAGTGAAGTCAATTCCTCCACAAACGTTTCCCAGCGAAACGTTTTGAGAATGCATCAAGTCCACTGTCAGATACTGGGAATCATGACAATACTATGGCAGACGACTTCGGACTAGGCGAGTTCTACATAGTCCCCCTGACAACAAGACCAAGTTGCGACAAAGAGGTTAACCCACTTTTCTAAGAAGAAATAAGGTTGAGTATAACGTCCATTTATAGACATCTAAACCCATCAATGAGCAGCATTTCTTTAACATTTGAAGGTTAGTTTTATGAATAGGCACAAGAATTTGCCATAGAATCTTGCTTAGCTGCCAGCTTGGCGAACAATTATGTGGCAAGACTTGAGAAACACCTTCTGGAAAAGGTAATACTAACCTCGATATTGTTGTTTAGATTTATGGAGGACTATTTTTTCATCTTGCCTCATGGTAAGAAAAGTTTAGATAGTTTCTTTCTTTCAATTGGTCAACGTGAAAGAATATTAAGTTCACAATTAAAATGAAAGAGAATAAGTCATCGCCCTTTCATCCTCATCATTAGAGAAGAGAGTAAGTTAGGAAGAGATGTTTATAGGAAGCCAACATATGTTGCCTCTTTGCTTGGTTTTCTTTTTAACCATATGTACAAGACTAAGGATAGCATTTTTAAGTAAATTATTATTAGGATTATGAGGCCAGCGGAATAGAGTTGGAACGGCTGACGAAATGTATTCCAGGAAAATAATTATCATTTGGGCCTAATCGATAAAAATATCCCTTTACTGAGGAATAAATTTTCAGATTGACACTATTTAGTCAAAGATAGACAAGCTGAGACTTTTTCTCATGTCCACATTTTGTCGTCATGCCTTTTTTCTAAGAAGATAGGCGAATTAGTGAGAAAGTGGAGGCTAAAAAGAGTGTTTAATGAAACCCTCACTTTCTTCTGTTATGACATCTTTAAAAGAGAGAAATATGACCCAGTAGAGAGATCCGTCTGCTATAAGCTTGCTTGCTCCTGGGTTGACCTTACGCTGGTGAGACATGTCAACCAATTCGATAAAGATTGGGGTGAACACATGCCAGAGACTGGACATGAGATAGAATGGTCTCAAACTAGTTATGTTTGCTGATTATGTTGCATCTGCTGTTTAAAGGAGGATAAAAGAGGCTATTTACATTAGTAGATTAGCGAATACGTTGAACGTGAGGAACGGTGGTAGAAAGTTGTACAAGAGCTACTTAGGCTTGATTGATAGATTGAAAAGAGAGAGGGTATTGAGCCGACATCCAAAAGAAGGCGGCCACACTTGTCTGCTCAATGAGGGTTGACTGACACTCGTCAAACATGTTAGTTTAAGATACGGAAAGAAGCTGTGTTTCGATTATTCTCTTGAGATAACATTGTTGGGTGACTTTCATTTCGTATTAAAGTGCATGAATAAGAGATTCGTATGTCGATCTCATCAGAAGAGAATGGCTGAATCCCATCGTACTGCAGGCGTTTGGCTTTTATACAACGTTCAGGTTGACGCAGGTCAAATATATTGTTTACGGACTTACACAGTCTCGGCCATGTCTTTCTAATGGGTCATTAAGCCTCGATGACCAGAGCCTGACATAAGCCTTTTGATAACTCTGATTTAAGACCTGTATTGCGTATACACACAAATATACACCCACACAGGCACACACAATCGAGCAAAAATAGTAGGACAAGTGAGAAATACAATTAGGAAAACCATTATATATCTATCAATATCTTTCAAATTTTGTTGGCTTAATTAAATCTATATAAGAATTTTTCGTTATAAACAGAGGTCCTGTATAGGAAGTAAGATATAGCTGGATAGTCTTCTTGCCCTAGTTTTAACTTGAGACTTTTATAAGAGAGAGTTCCAGTTCTGATGATGTCCATCATATGATCGACGAAAGCTCAGCACGTTTTCACCCGAAGAGAGGGAGGAGGTTTCGTGGACTGCGTCAACCTGAACGTCCTATTAAAGCCAAACGGCTGTAGTACAACGGAATTCAGTCGTCCTCTTTTGTTGAGATCGACATTCGAATCTATTCTTCCTGCACTTTCATAAGTAATGAAAGTGCCCCAACAATCTCATTTCAGTAGACTCATCGAAACCTAATTACTCACTTATATCTATAATATAGTTCTTTAGCCCTAATTTCTATGTAACATCCGGATGGGGAGCAGGGAGAAACACTAAAATAATGGTGTGAAACCTAAAATTTTGTGAACTCATGCCAGAGTAATAAACTAGGTCTCGAATAGAAGTGTATTGGCCTCGTTGTCGCAACTTGGTCTTGTTGTCAGGGCGACTTAGAAGAACGCACCTACATTCTCAAACGTTTCGCCGGTATCGCAGTCGGCAACATGAGTGAGTTTTGCCAGTCTCCGCACCAAGCTATGAACTCGTCAAAGGGACAAGTGAAGTCAATCCCTCGACAAACGTTACACTCCTCTTTCTGTCCTGGCCCATCTATCTACTTTTTACCTTCTTATCATACTCCCGTCCTATCACAACTTCTCACTTGTTTACATTCCATTCGTCAAAATGTGTGCCCTTTTGTGGCAAATCTGGTGTGGCCTCATCACACCCGCTATTCACCCCAACCCCTCTCTTTCGATCGGCTAATCCGACTCGGGCCTCCAGTCCGGATCCCCTCATTGTCTAGTACATCCGTTCCTTCTCTTTCTGGTTGACCGATTTCACTCAGTTCCAGTCCCTGTGTGCATTTGACTCCAGGCTCTATTTCTCAAGGCCCTAGAAACACGTACACCGCCGTCTCACCAAGCAGAGCGCCTAGGCCCTGACTGCCACGCTTGCAGATATCAAGCCTTCCCTTCACTGGAAGTCTCCTTGATTGACCTCGTGTAACCGATTAAGCCAGTAGTTCCCAAACTTTTTCTAGTCATGGCGCCTTTTTTCAATTAAAATTTTTCAATGGCGCCCTACCCTAAGTATGACTATTCGTACGTAAGAGATACAAATAAATAAAACTCGTGTATCTTCATTATTCTTTCTACTTCATTGATATTAAATTAATATTCAATAATTAATGTGATGGATGAGCCTGCAAAACACTGCACATTTTCTCAAATTAATGCTTTTACAATATTTCGCAGCGCCCCTGTGAAGAGGCCGCGGCTCCCTGGGCCGCCGCGGCGCACAGTTTGGGAATCACTGGATTAAGCGATAACTTTGCCTACTGCCTAAGCAAACTCGAGGAAAACAAGAATAGAGCAAGACCAGCAAATGGGATACGCCTGGTTCTAGGATCTACTGCTAACCGGAGGAAAAGAGATCGCGATGAAGAATGTGGGGGAGAGGGATTTTCAG